ATTTCTTCGTGAGAAGCAAAGACTATTTGCTATTCTGGGAGATTTTTAGGTAATTATGAAGAAGCAACATTTTTATAACATTGTAATAGCGCTGGTTCCTTTTTGCTAAATGCGATCCCACTGTCCAGTGTCCATCCGCGAAAAAAGGGGCCTCTCAATCAGTTGTGAGGAATGACGAATCGATTATTAATACTTCCCCATTCAAATCTATGGTAAAGAATCGACCATAAAGATGTTCGTTGCGAATACCCTGTTTATCTATCCTTTTCCACAGGGTTAAATGGCAGATCAATCGATATATCGCAAGGCACGCTCCGCCACTGCTTTTAATGCACGAGCAAAAGCTTTCTGGACAGGAATTTTTGTCAAGAGGTATTAAAAATCTACTTTAAGTTTTGACAAAAAAAAAAAAAAAACAATCCAGCATCTCAAAAAACAAGTCAGGAGCGATGCGGTTCGTTTTAAAGCAATCAGTAAAAGAGGGCGTGGACATGACTGTCAGCATAATCCGGCAGTATCTTCCTCCAAATATATAAGATTAAACCTAAAAATATACAGCTTTTCATCAAAACAACGTTTTTAGAACGGCAGACTTCAATTCGTTCACTGGAAAAAAAAAAAAAAAACACATTGGATCTAGAGTCCAGACTCTTAAAAACATCGACAGCAAAAAATACTCTTGATTCAATCATATTTAAGCTTAAATCAAGAACCAAACCTCTTAATTTGAGCGGATTTCCTTTTGATTTAAGAAAAAATCTGATTGAATCAAGAGTATTTTTTCTTGTCAATGTTTTCAAGAGTCTGGACTCTTGATCCATTGTGTTTTTTTCCAGTGTTCTACCTTAGCTACGTATGACATTTGTCTACGTTTCTTCATTCTAAGATCTTTGTTACTCACTATTTTCAGCGGTGGTTTTCATATCCAAATTTTGCGGTTCTTTAACATCGAGACGGCTCTTCCGCTGACCAATCAAACACTGAGAAAAATGTTCATTTCAATCGATCAGAACTTTTTTCAAAACAACCGAAAAACTTCCTTGCTTCTCTTAAAACAAGCGGCAGTGACTTTTATTCTGACCTTTCATGGAAGAACGTCGCACGAACGTTCAAAAAGTACCGAAGTTCCCTGGTTGAGAAATGTATTTTTGACGAAATTTCTGTATATTTTGCTTTTAAATCTCCACATGTTTTAGATTAAATTGTGAACAAAATAGTCTGACAGTTTTAAGAAATTGTTTTACAACTTTTCCGCAATGAATTCGTATTTTATCAGAGGAACTTTGGCGACGTCTGAAGGTTTATACGGCGTTTTTCCGCAGCACGATAGCGTTGTAGCGTTTATTACCTCTGCTCCTGAAATCAGGAAAATGAAAAGTGCTGGCAAAAGCCACAAAGATGTCGAGCCGCTACTAGATAAAATTGGAATTAAGTTTGGAACAACTTAAAATTTAGCTTTGTCGATACAGTGAAATACGATAAAATGAAAATAATCACGCACTGTTTTATACCTTGAAACAAGTTTCGGGTATTCGCGATGACTCGCTACTCAAAATATGTATTCCTGTCATGTGAGTCGCATTTTACGAGGAGGAACCAGCGTGATCAGAGTGTTTTCAACATCATGCAACTTCTTCATGTCTTCTAAAAAAACTTGATATACGTACACTATTCTTTACATAATAATTTTTCTTTACAATTAACATTTTTTTGGGAAGAGAAAGCTATTTGCAACTCTAAGTGATTTTTTAGATATAATTAGAAAGAAGAAACAGTTTTACAAGACTGTAATTACACTGGTTCCTCTTGAATAAATCCGATCCAGTGGTTTATTATTCTGCGGGGAAATGAAATTAATCTCGATTCGAAAGGGAATTTTTCCCGGAGCGTATTGTTTGGTCTTTGTAACGCATTTTTAAAATGATGGGATTTGTATCTCGCAAATGAAATTCTCACGTTCATGGAGCCTTTTGATAAGGAGGACGTGGTTAGGATCCTTCTCCCCGCGAACAACGTTAAACACGAGGAAATGCGGTGTGCCGCAACACCATCACCGCAAAGGCTCAAGCAACGGGGGATTAGGCGAAGAATCCTGGAGCGTATTTTGCATTTAAACGACGGAAAGGGAGAGAGCATAATGCCGAGAATAACTTAAAACACTCTTGTCTTTCGAAGTAATGGCTATTTTGTCTGCAGTTGTTCGACAACTTTTCCTTCTTCAGAAACTTCAATTATTTAAGGTCATTGAATCGTTTCAATGAGGAATTTTCTTACTTTGTTAATACTTCTCTCGGATACCTCGTGGTCGAGAGGATGTTTTTAATCAAATGGATTCATCTACAGAAGGGTTAAAAATTTATTTTTTAGGGTCGTACTCCTAGCCGTTTTTTAAACATCTATTCACAGGAGGCCCCATTTGGATTACATTATGATTAAGGGAGACTTAACGGACTTAAATAGCATCATGAAGGGTCAATTTGACCAACCTTGAGTAAATCTTCTGAAATTGATCCTTCCAAGGGAAAGCAATGATTTGCTGCAGTAAAAAGTACAAAGTACAGAATAAAAAAACCTATGATTTTGACAAACATTAAGATTGGTGCGAAACTACCTGACAATTTTCAAAACTTACAAGCTGTACTCTTCCGTATTTTGTATTTTTTGGAGCAGTAAATCGTTGTAATCCCTTTCAGAATGCATTCTCAAATAATTTTGACTTCTGAATTTTACTGTAGATCAACAAAAGCTGTAATTTTTATGATGCTACGTTGAATATCTCCTTGAACGGTTTAAGCACGATGAAAAACCACACGAAACCTTCCGAGGGACAAAGCTGTTTTAGGAACGACTATAAATACAACCCTTTGTGTTATAATCGGCTCCAAAGAGATGAAAAAAGGGAACACATTTGAAAAATCACTCTACTCGGTTCAATTTGGCAATCTCTAAATCGGAAGCGCATCGGCTCATGAAGACTGGAAGTGGCTGCACTTTGCGGCGTCGCCAACCCGTCGAAAAATCCGAAAGCGCCCCATCCAAAATAAACGGGAAACACGTTCAATCCGGCAGCACGGTAAGCCGTTTTGTCTTTTGTGTCGCGACCTTTCTCCTTTGATCAATGGCGCAGAAACGTCTCGCGGACAAAACCTCTCAAGTCAGAGCCGCGCACTCGAGTTTCGCGGTCGAGAGGGATAAAAAATTCGACCGCTGGAAAGTGAAATAGTGAAAACCGCGTATTTATACAGCGTACCGCTTGGAGATACGTGGTTCTTGCCGGGGAGGACAGTATAATCGGTGTCATTATGACAGTGACTTACGGCCCGGCTCCAGTGGCGAGGCGTCAATGATCGATTATCGATATTTCCCCATCTCAAGTTATGATAAATAATCGATTACTAAGGTGTTCGCTGTGGAACCCTCTCTATCGATCCTTTTCCGTGGGTTCAAGTGACGAATCAATCGATATATCGCAATGCACGCCACCCCACTGCCCGGCTCCTGTCTTTTGTGTCGATGAAAACGCATCCGAACGGCGGAGTGAATGGAACTCGAATCCCCACTTGGCGGGCTTTTCATTTTGGAGGAGGGAACTGTCTCGTCCGGATTCGCGGATCTCATTGAGTCAATGGAAGTAGGTCATCGAGGGATACAGCGACTCACAGCGATGGCTAGTTATTTCTTCGGGTTGATTTCATGGAATTTTCGCTAGGTGCATCTTACAATTGGATTACATTTTGCAGTAAGGAACCACTATCTCTGGCTCTCCCATAAAAGCACTCATCGGCAAAGGGAAAGCTATGGCATGTATAATATTTCGAAAATGGGCTAAAAATAGTAGTTCCTTATTGCAAAATGTGATCCAATAGTTTCCCTGTGCCCGTAAGGGTTTTTACGGTTGAGATAGAAATGGTAGTTCCTGATTAATTGCAGAATGCAGTCCAATTATTCTCGTGCAGCCTTGCAACGCGTCTTCATGGACGCAACCTCAGTTGAAACGCCTTCAACGTTTTGTACGTGCAACACGCACACCCCTTAAACACGAATAGTTGCATTTAAGTGTTGTTAACGACATCGCATCTGATATTTTCATCAAAAGTGCTGGTGCTTTTTCCAATATTCTAACGATGATAAATGTAATATTGAAATTTCAGGGAGAATATGTCATGAATTTCATTTCGAAATTAAATGGAAAAAGAATATGGATTTGCTTGCTATGGATTTTGGTAGTCTCGCAGTTCAAGTTGGGGTGGTAACGCAAAATTTGGGTTAGTTGGCCAAACTTGGATTTGTTTGCAAAACGGAATACTCGACACGTTGCGAAGCACCCACCTAGTGCTACCATGCTGAGCAAAAACGCTGTAAGAGCATTCAAATTATGCCAAATGTCTTCTCAGAAAATGTCCACATTTTTTAAGAAAGTTGTGAATATTTTTCCTTGAGATTTCCAGACTTTTTGGATCAAATTTCGAACCAAATCCTCTGAAAAATCGGAGGAGAAATATTCACAAATTCTCTAAAAAATTCGTTGTTTTTCGAAGGAAAGGAACGCCTGATGGCTCGTACGGCTTTCTTCCTTAGCACGGCAGAGTAGATGAGTCAGCAGTTGAATGTTAGAGTCCTGAAAGTAAAAGTAACATTTTCCGCCATTCTGCCGTGGTGAGGAAGAACGTCGTATGAATCTTTAGACGTTGCCATATTTCTTTCAAGAAAAACCGAATTTACTAAGAAAATCGTGAACATTTCCCTCAAATTTTGCGGTCAATTTTGTTTACAATTTAATGTAAAATATCTGAAAATTTCAAGGAAAAATATGCATAACTTTTCTTAAAATTATACATGTTTTATTCGAAGGAATTTGGCAACTCTCGAATGTTCATACGGCGTTTTTCCTTAACTCAGCAGCGTTGCCAAGATTCCAACGGAGGGTCTCATCGTCTCAGGGTGCTTCATACCCGTTTCCGTTCATTGTGATTCTGACGAGGTTCATTTGGATTTTGCAGGTATTCGTTGTGCTCGTCTCCGCCCTGGTTGCCTACGCTGAAGGCGCTGCGATCGGAGCCCCGATGGCCATGATGAGGGCCCCGCAGTTCGACTCCGCCACGATCGAGCACGAGCGCCTCGGCGGGAACTTCGCCTACAAGACGATGGAGGCCCACGCCTACGCCGCCGTCAGCCCCGTCATCGAGAACGTCCCCACCCAGGTCGGCGTCAGCTACGCCCACAGACCCATCTTCGGACAGGTCACCTACCATGTAAGCATACTTTTCTATCCTCTCCAGTCACTCAATTTGTGGCTCTTTTATTAAGGGGCAAGGCATTTTTCAGGGTTGTGGTATTCTCATTCATACCAAAATTTTTTTATTACGACCGAAATTTCGATTAAATAGTTAGCAAAATCATGTTTAAAAAGACAAAAGCTTAATGGGTCTCTAGACAAGGTATAAATTAAAGCACAGCATACGTATTTCCTCTAAAATTTCACAAGGAAAACAAATCACACAAAGGGAAATCTGAGAATCAACTCCTGAACATGTTTTTTCTATCAACGTTGGTCAAATGGCAAAAATACAAATGACTTCATTTGTTTACTCGAACTTCCATTTGATCCGTGTTTAAAAGCCTTGTTAATATGTCGTTCAGGGGTTGATTTCAAAACTTCCCGTGTCGTGTGATTTGTTTTCTATGTAAGATTTTGAAGAGAAAGTATGTGAATTTTCCTCAACTTCAGGCCTTGTCTACTTGTCCATCGGACGCACCGCGCTAATCAGAAAGGACCCATGCCACACCAGCTATCGCCAAATTTATTTATCTGGGCAATTTAACTTGTTACTTGAAAACTGCAAATCTCCTTGAATTTTCCATATAGTATGAAGCAAATTCCTCAAAATGTTCAGAAGAACCCGCACGAACGTTCTCTCATAAAAAATCAACTTGCATAGTTAAGCTTCGTGCGCGGTCAAATTCAAAAATCGAGTTGAAGTAGCAAGGCGATGCTTGAAGTTGAATTCTGCTCATCAGCAAATGCTGTTTCCGCCACCTGGTTACATCATCAGGCCCCTTCCGAAAATATCGTTCCAGAAGGGTCCCATTCTTGCAAAACGGAGTTTTCATTATTCCATTGAGGGGGAGGGGAGAGGGATTGAAAAAATTTCAAGAGGCTTGGTTCTCTCTGCACCTTCAGAAACTAAGAAAAAAATTAGATGAGAATCACCGGAAGAAAGCTATTTTGGTCTACCTTAAAAATTTAAGGGGCAATGAAACAATATACATGTTTCGCAACCTAGATATCTCCTGAGGCTTCATGCGAGTCCAAAAATCTCTAATAATTTAGTCTAAATGTGCCTGCAGGCGTATGCATCAATTTTTTTGTCCAGAATAGAAAATGAAATTAGTAATTCTGCATACTTTTTTCAATAACTCGACGTTTGTTCACTCTCAGTGTCGATTCATTTTGAACTTTTGGAACTCACTTAAACTAGTGGTTAAACCGCGGTCAAATGAGTAGAAAGCACACATACCCCCTTCCTTCCCTGGCAAAGGAACCAAAAGCTACGGCTCATTAAGGGTGGAACTTTCAACTGGCCGCTGCGCTGGCGGGCAACCAAAAGTGTGCGATCTGCAAGTTTGATAAGGACTCACTCGATGTGTACCTTATGCAGTCTTCACCACCGACCGGGCGCAGGCAGGCGCGGCCGCCATAAGGCACTAGTTGTCCGCGAGTTTTGACCCGAAAGGCGGAGTTTTTTGGGCCTTTGAATTGATTTTGGCAACGCCGTTTGAACGACCATCTTTGCGCATGCTCTTGGACAAACAAAAGCAGACTGAAACACAGCTTTAGGACACCGTAAATTAAGCTCACCGCAAATTGCATCATGCGTCCTTTTCCCGCCGCATAGTGGATCGAGTCAACAGGAGAAGTCGGACAAAATTTGAAAACTTGAAAAGCTTAAAACTCCGTTCATACAGAATTTTGAGGTTCTGACAATGGTTCCATTGGTTTCCTAGTGAAATTTTCTTCGAGGAGCACCCCTTAAAATTTAGAATGTAACGAAATAAACATCAAAAGTTTCAGTTTTACTAAAAAAATTCATGCCCGAACTCTCTAATTGACTCGATTCACTGTGCGCCGTATCCTGTGTTTTGACATCGTTGCCGAAGTTTTATCACAATTTTCGCCGGCAAAATTATTTTCCCAAAGACATAAATTAGTTTTCAGGCCTAATGATTATTGAAATTGATAGAAAAAGCTATAGACAAATAAGTCAAAAAGAAAATGGAACGATCATATTGGTTCGAACGGATGGTTTTTATAGACTAAAAAAGAAAATGACGGGCTAACTGGACCGCATTTGGCAGAGAGAAACCAAGCTACATCAACTATTGCTAAATTTATCTGGGCAATTGAATTTTGTATGAGAGAACGTTTGTGCGGATCCCTTTGAACATTTTAAAGAATTTGCTTCCTCCTATGAAAAAATTCGCTGAAATCTGCTCAAAAATTTGCACAGCGTTTTCATGTAAAAAATTAAATTGTCCAATTAAGCTTGCCAATAGCTGATGTGGCTTGGTTCCTTTCTGCTCAACTCGGTTCAACTATACGGATCTCGTGGGTTGCTGTTTTTAGTTTGTCTATCACTAAGCTCCTTTATCCATTTCAACCACCCGCTTCCTCTAAGGATCACTCCATTATCTGTTTAGCACCTTTGTCTATCAATTCTGTGAATCATCCCGCTGGCGTAAATACGAGTACTCGAGTGTATAAGAGGAGCGCTTTTTAGTGGAAATTCGACAGCAGAGCATGTAACGTCGTTTAGCGAACTTCGTTTAGTAGCGCCGGCAGAATGGCACGATTTTCCGGGGTAAAATGTCGCGTTATGCAAATGATACAATGAGCTCTCCTCTCCTCACCGCTCCAATTGTTCCACTGTCTCTTCAAACATGTTTTTCTTTCCTCTTTTCCAAATGTAGACAAGTACAATGTAGATTGATGTATCATCAATCATTCTCCTATCGTTTGAATGCGAGATAACAGTGGTGAGGCGTGAATGATCGATTATCGATATTTTCCCATTTGAAGCTATTGTAAAGGATCGATTGTTAAGGTGTTTGTTGCAAACACTCCATCTATCGATCTTTTTTCATAGGTTTAAATGTCAGATCAATCGATATATCGCAGAAACATGCCACGCCACTGCGGGGTATCGCATATTCTCACGAAGAGGCGAGTCTCAAAACCCGTTTTTGGGATTTGAAAAATCTGCAGACCACGCCTGTCCATAAATTTTAGGGAATTCAAATTGTAGACGCATTCCATCGGAGATTACAGCGCCGCGACTGTACATACGCATAGCGCTCTGAGATTCCGCAGTTTCCCAGAGAAAATAACGCAACTACTTTCCAGCGGCGCAAAATTACCACTCATTTATTTTTTTCTACTCGAAACTGTCGGGTATTTCAAGTCGAAATTTCATCAGTTTTACCTCTGATTACACACAAATATCAGCTAACTTTTAGACAGATTTTACAGTAATACAATAAGTTTCGTATGAACAATTAAATTGTTTGTGCATGCCAATTTTGCAACTAGAGTCCGAAGTTACGTTCTATTGTGTGGAAAACAGAGATACGAGAAGCAGGAAAAAACAGCGGGAGAAAATGAAGTGATCCGAGGGAAAAACGATACCGATGGTTAAACTGCGAAACCACGTATCTCCATTGCGGTGTTTCAAAATGTCAGCTCCTATTTTATTATTTCCAGGAGAGCCAAACTGTAGATCAAATATTTTAAAAGCACTAGACAAGGTCAAGGTTAAAATAAAATTTAAAAACTCACTAGTCAGAGAAATAGAATGGGAAAAATGGGATGGTTTCGAATTTTCTCTGACTAGTGAGTTTTTAAATTTTATCCACACTATAGAGCTTGAAATTCATTCTGAATATCCTCTACTAACATGAAGGAAATATTGAGGATGTTTTCAAGAAATTCCGTCCACCAGTTTTGCACAGAAAAAATAGAGTAAGACAGGAAGTCTGCAACGTCGCAAAGGGAGTTACGTGGTTTCGCACATTCGCCATCGGGATGTCGCGCGGAAATGTCACTTACAAATAGTGAGATCAGTGGTTCGCGTGAGCTGCCCTGTTAAGGGAAAACGCCGTATGAACATTCGAGAGTTGCCAAATTTCTTTCGGTAAAACGTTAAATTAGAGGAGAGTTATAAATAATTTCTCTCGAAATTTTCCGAGTGCTTTATTCGCATTCAGGTCTACATTATCTGAACATGTCAAGAGAAATTATTTGTATATAATCGGAGGATAAACATGCACAGATTTTTCTGAAAATGCATGTTTTATCAAAGGAACCTTGGCAAAGTCTAAAGGCTCATACGTCGTTCCTCCTCAGCACAGCATCATGGCCAGCTTTCATTTAAAAAACTTAGAATAAAACAGAGGAGAACACCTGATTGATAGTTTGCGCGCAGTTCACAAGGGTCCTTTGATTTCAAACATTTTACAACGAGGATATGCTTACGTATTCCGCGGCACTTCTGATAATGGTACGAGTTCAATTTTGCAATTGCTTAGTTTGATTTTTGGATATGATCGCAAGCCTACTAAAGGCTTTTTAAAAGGAGCCACGGAAAATTTATTTTTATATGACTGGAAAACTGAGTGAATTCAGTGGGAGAGAAATTGAATACTTCCTTTCCTACGATGGCCCTGCTCGAGTTAGTATAAAAAATCAAAATCTCCTTCTATTTCTTTTCTCCGTCTTCTATACATATGTGCTTGTGTCATTTGCGTAATTTTCGGGTCATCTATTCAAGATCTAACAAGCTTTCACTGAAAAAAAATTTCTTGAGATATTATTCTGACTTGATGTTTACTTTCTTGCTGACAAATTTTTTTATATTATTATTATTTTTTTTTTTTTTTTTTTTTTTTTTTTTTTTTTTTTTTTTTTTTTTTAAGTTATATCCGTGAGGACTCAACATAGAGTCAGTGGTTTTGCATTAAAAATACGTCATTCTGTCATCGTTAAGTTTGACTTTAAAAAGATAACAAACCAACGTTTCTATATTCAAAAAACGGTTAAATCCGCGCAGATTCAGCACGAAGTCAAATTTTGTCGACAAGAAACGGCGCTTTAAGTCAAATTAATATCTCAAGAACATTTTTTCTCCGTGTTTGATTGATCAGAAGCTGGGATTTTAATACGTGGACTTCTTTCGCAAATATTCGCCGATCCGCGGTATTTGCAAATATTATTTTGGAGTACAGGAGCGAAAAATCTGACAACAGCTCACAGATTTTTTCCTCCAGTTTGTGTTATCATGGTCTACTAACCTTTTCTCATTAAATATGTAGGTTACGTATACTATCTGAATTTTTTGTGTATTTTTCTTCCTATCAGACGTTGAAAAATAATAAAAAATTGAACATAATATTATTGCGGAGCAAATAAACGCTGACCTGAAAGCTTTGAGATAGCAACAGCAATTAATTAATGAGTTTAATTTTTTCGATTCTACCAAGTTATAGTGATAATAATTGCTCGTGCCGGCTCGGAGAGACTGCGATTTGCAGCACGTTAATAACCCACTTTTAATATTACCCTTTTTTGGGCGATTCGGATTAACTTAGGGGTAGTTTTCGACACTTCCTGTGAAGCTTTTTCCCCCTTTTCGGATTTAATTGAATGAACTGTCTCTAAATCACTTGCACTTATTTAATGACTTTCATAAATGGACAGTCTGCTGGTTGTGGGATTATGATGATAATTATGATAGAATTTACAATAGTCAATGTGAGATTCGGCAATGTGAGATTCGTATTTCTCGGCAGGGAATGTTGAAAAAGGAAGAAAAAAAAGCCTCGAGGAGCAGAGAGTTTCTGTTTTTCTGTCAATTATTTGTCAATTTTAAAACAGACCGATCGTTAATACTTGATAACATGTCATAAATTCAGCATTTTTTCAAGCTGAGAAGAAGTTACAGGATTTTAAGAATACAATAACCCAAGTAGCACAGGTTGCAATAAATAGCAATTGCAGGTAACATTAATGCTGTTGTATTAGAGTGTTGTGTATGTTGTCTATTCTTTGATTGAAGGGGCTCTTCTTGATGAAATGCATTGCGGTGAAATGCATTGCAATGAAATTGAAAAGCTGCAATTTTCTCTACATGGTTAAATGCCTTTCTTTCCCACACAAGGAATTTATGGTTTAAATCGGACTTTTTTGAGAGATGAATGTAAAAATATTGCAAATTTATGGTAAAAGACGCAATTTAATTGGAAAATTATTTCAATATTTTCGTTGCACTGTGCTCCTTGGGAATGAAGTTGATTCTCATTTAAGGGGTTTGGAGGACAAGGCGCGTGAGTGAAGTTTTTTAAAAAATTGAGATATTCATGAACTCAACTAAAACTAGTTTGATAGTATATTCTGTGAAACATTCGCGACTTAAATCAAACTTAAAAGCATTACTCTTTGAAATAGCAAAATCTGCACACTTATGCGCCTTGTCCTCCAAGCTCCTCATTCGTCACATGCAGTTTTGTTTCTTCTGACTTTGGGTTATTTTCAATTTTCGAAAAACTTGGTTACTGGCAAACTGTGTACCAATTTTGTATCGTGCTAGTATGAACCTGGAACTCATAACCGTGTACATTTCTGTGCAATTTCATGGTAGAAATCGCAACTTCATTGCATTAATTTGCAAAATTATTTCAATATTTTTGTTGCACTGTGCTACTTGGACATTAAGTTGATTCTCCTTTGGTACATGCAATCTTGTTTCTTCTCACTTTTGGTTATTTTCAATTTTCGAAAAACTTGGTTACCGGCAAATTGTGCACCAATTTTTGTATTGTGCTTGCATGAACCTTATTCAACTTATAACAAATATTTTCTTCTCTGTGCAGGAGCCAGCCCAAGCCACCGTGATCACCGCTCCCGTGGCCGTACCCGCAGCCGCCCCTGTCTACGCCACCCCCGTAGCGGCCGCCCCTGTCTACCCCGCCGCCGCCCCGATCTACGCCCCCGCCCCAGTAGCCGCCCCCCTCTACCCCGCAGCCCCCGCCTTCCCGGCCGCTGACTCCCCATCCATCCCCGCCCAACCATCCCCTGCCTTCCCCGCTCAACCATCCCCAGCCCAACCAGCCCCCGCTGCCCCGGCTCAAGATGCACCCTCTTTCCCATCTCAACCATCCCCCGCCTTCCCCGCTCAAGATGCTCCCTCTTTCCCCTCTCAACCATCCCCCTCTTTCCCCGCTCAAGCAGGAGCCCCATCTCAGGACGCCCCCGCACAAGGTGCCTCTTCCGACGATGACTCCATCACCGTAGAATCCGCATAAATGTAGAAAACATTCACCGCTGGAACTCTGCCATGCTCAAGAAGAACGCCGTATGAGCCTTCAGACGTTGCTAAATTTCCTTTGATAAAATACGAGTTTTCATGGAAAGCTGTGAATGTTTTCCTCCCAATTTTTTGTGAATTATTAAAAACTATCTAAAATTTTGAGGGGAAACGTTCATAACTCTTCTTGAAAATAAACATTTTATCGAAGGAAACTTGACAAACCTGGAATGTTGATACGACATTTTTCCTCAGCACGGCAGAACTCCATTGATCTCGTCGATAATGTCGCATTTACAACACCCCACTCTGGATCCAAGTAAAGTGCCTTTTTAGGGAGAGTATGGCCAATGGACGATCCATTTCTGATTGGCTTAGCCATAATAGGCTTTGTGAAGCTCTTAGGATGAAAAAAATGGTGGACGTAGCATGCAGTTGATTCAAAAATATATAAAGATGAGGTTATATTTGCTTGTATTAACGTCAATTTTGCTTGAGCTATCTCCACTAAATCCAAATCTCTCTGCAAAGGCACTCTACACCTAAAAAGGCTCGTCTGATGATCACTGTATACAAACCACCTGAATATTTGAATTTACAAGAATTGTGTTCTTTCGGATGATTTTGTCAAACTTGGCCTCCTATCATCTTTTGCATATCTGCTTTAATGTAACACAGACTCAGGTTTGGAATACCAAATGGATATCCTTTTGGTGATGAGTCTATTTCGTGTTGGAGATTGAAGCGAACATAAAATGCACTATTACTGTACAAAATCATGCGAAAAACTTGAAAATGAATATTCACACGCCATAGCCATGATTTTATTGCACGTGATCTCCACCTTTTAGTGTAAATACCCACCAGTCACTCGAAGAATTTTAGTGTTCAAGTAAAACTGCCATATTTGATGAATATGAGCCAAACTTCTCACTTAACCAGATAGGAATTTGAGACAATTTCAATGAGAATTCCATCCATTTAGTGGAAAGGCTGAAATGATTGGATAGCCTCTGTAATTTTGTGAGTTTCATGATCTTTGTAATTTTCGCCTGACTTTTTCGATACTGTTCTCAACACTCTATAAAAAAATAAAAACCAGAAAAAAATTGCAAAATCCACCGCAATTGGTAATTTTATTTCCTTCCTAAAACATGCCTTTATCTTGATCGAGACGGGGAAAGGGGAGCTCAAGGTGAAGGAATCAAATGGGGCCTAACAACATTAAGGTGCTCGTGAGAATTCGATTCCCATCTGTTTGCCGTTTAGAACATTCAAGAACTCGTGAAAACATTCAAAATAGTTTCCAAATTTTAACTTTTCTCGGCAGCAAATATCGAAATCGCCCAAATCAATCTTCAGAGGCAATGAAATACAGCTGGTCTTCACCTTAACTCATTTTTTCCACTAATTCCACCAAAAATATGATGAATATTCAGTGAACACGTTGAGCAATACAACAAAATCTCATTAGGGAAAATAAAACGACAGCGGAAACTTAGTCAATCGCAATCGAGATATACGTGTTTTGGAGCTGTCATGAGCGTTCCAAAAGCATAAAATTTAAAGTTTTTGGTGACTTTTGGAAAGAATTTTGTAGATAACGGCTAATTCTCTCTTTAGTTGGGTAATGAATCTACCGGAATATACAGGGCAAGGACACCACGATACATTACTTTTCCTATCGTGGATTCGTTGTCTACTGTGGCAGGATCTGAAAACGGGACTTGCGGCCTGCGGGCCGATTATTGAAACTGATGGACAAATCGATCGACAAAGAAGACATAGGAAGTATGGAGCGATCCTATTGGTTGACAAGGTTGGTTCTTATAGACTAAGGAAGAAAATGATGGACTAACTGTCGGATCTTCAGTGGGTTGCCGTTAGTTAGTCTATTACCTACCTCCTATGGCCGTTGCCACCACCTGCTTCCACCAATCGGATCCCTCCAAATCCCTTTTGTCGTCTTTGTCTATAGCTTTGTCTATAAGTTTCAATAATCAACCCGCTGATCATTGAAACGTTGTCGAGATATTGACACAACGAGACACGGATAAATTCGATTTTTACCAAGATGTGTAGCGTATTTAATGTTTTGTTGTGTTGCCATGAAATCTAAATAATCGGCCCGCGTATGGAATTGACAATAGAATTTGTTGTCTCTACCAACTCCTCAGTTCTTACGCCGCGCCGCACAGAGGATCGAGTCAATCAGAGAAAGAGAGAAAAGATGAAATTTTTCACTAGGACTGCAAATTATTATGTTTAATTCGTCACATTTTAAAATATTTTGAAGGAGGGTCGCTGAATGGAAATTTCGCGAGGAAACCAATGGAAACATTTTCAAAATCTCAAAGTTTTGATTTAACGGAGTTATAAGCTTTTAAAGTTTCCAAATTCTGTTCGACCGCTCCCATTGACTCGATTCACTGTGCGCCGTATAAAAATAAAATTTTCGGAAAAATGAAACGCGTAAAGTGTCAGTGGCCAAAAACGTGGCGTGCTTTGCGATATATCGATTGCTTTTCCATTTAGACCTATAGAAAAAGATCGATAAACAGGATGTTTGCAAGAAATACCTTAATAATCAATTCTTTATTACCACGGCTTCTATTAGAGAAATATCGATAATCGATCATTCACGCCTCGTCACTGCAGTGCGTTTTTCACATTAAAATAAAACGGGAGGTGTTTATATATGAGCCTGAAATCCAAGTAACGCCACTGGGACACTTCTTCCACCAATTATTAAAGATGTACTTTAGCCGATAAAAGACGTTTTCTTGGGAGGCCTAAAGTAGAGTATCATAAAAAGAGCAATGCACTGAAAAAAGGACCTCAAAATGTAGGAGGATTAATACTGTGCGGCATGACATTGAAATTGTCAACATTTATTGAATTTTTCGTTAAAAGTAAGGGATGCGGATGTTCCTAACTGACGATAGTTAACGTCGATAGTAAACGATAATTTTATTATTTCAAGGGTGTCGTGATGTGCGACGACACAAGTTGGTGTTGCGCTACGTCCCTGCATCACACGAACTCACTTCAAAGTAAATGACGAGATGCTTTGTAGCTTTTACTCCGAGAGTATATGAAATAGCTTGAATCTGAATCTAACGTTGCAGCGAATTGTGCTTTGTTTTGTTTCTTATTCGCCTTCCGTTTATCAAGACACAACTTGCGAGACAAGTGATGAAAAGTAAACTCTCTTCCAATCAAGCGATAAGCTTCCCCAGCTTGGAGCCTGTGTGATACTATTTTTGACGGGAAATTCAAGGAGGGCACCACATAGTTGCAAAAGGGATATTGCAGTTTTTTTATCGTCACGCTCTAAATCGGAGCCTTTCAGATAATCTAGGATTATTTCTAAAACAACTGGATTTATCTTCATTCCTATTTATAACAACTGAACTTCTTCTGGAGAAAAGATAGAAGTTTTGGCGGATAAAATCCAAAAGAAGATTTTTTTGACTTGTGTGCGAACTATTCTGGCCGATATTTGTGAGGAAAAAAACTTACTTTGAAAACCGGTTCAGATAACAGCCTTTGTAGAAAATATGTAACTCATCAAACACTCGTATCTCCTACCGCAAGCCTTAGTCAAAGGTATGCATATCGAAAATAGTATTAGAAGACACATTTAACCCGTAAAAATGTTTCCAACTCAATATTAGCAGCGGACTCAATTCTGTTTATCTAAAACAAGGCTCCGGTTATACGATAATTGGAAAGTTCTATCAACTGAATAAAAAAAATTTGGCCGAATCAATCGAAGTTTGTTCCATTCAACCGTAAAAATTGTATTCCTGCACTTCACTGCCGTGCTAAGGAGGAACGCCGTAAGAACATTCGAGAGTTGCCAAATTTCCACCGATAGAATGTTTATTTTTGACACAAGTTATGAATATTTTTCCTTGAAATTTTCAGATCTTTTGGATTAAATTGCGAACAATATAGTCTGAAAATTTTGAGGAAAAACATTCACAATTTTCACAGTAAATTTATATTGTATTGAAGGAGATATGGCAGCTTCTGGTTGCTCATACGACGTTTCTTCTTAGCACGGCAGTATACACGTCAATGCAATTACGTTTCGTTGGTGCCTCCACGATTTGATCAACAAGTAAAATGCAAAGGCGACGTGCAAAACAAAAAACAAAGCAAAATCGTGATCACGTCCACCCCAAAAAGGCTTGTATGAAATACTTTTACTTAGCGCTTGGCTATCTAACCTGCATATAATCGGCTGATTTTCTTGGTAAAAAAAAAATCCATTATATAATGCCAACCATACCGAGAACAGGTTTTCATTTCGCACTTTTTTCAACGCCTCAGAATGGCATGCGATATATTGGCTCCCACCGTTGTTCTCAATTAATTCTACGAAATGCCTTTTCTTTCTGACGCAAGTGGTGATTCTCGAAATAGATTACGGGCGAAATTCTAGAAAATACCTGCATTCTGAGTCTCCAATGAGTAATGGCCGAGACGGAACGCAAAAAAAGCTTAAAAGTATTAAAAAAGAAATTGTTGTGGAAAGCACTCAAAACAACTTTTTTTAGGTGTGGACGCTTCTTCCGTTGGGCACTATTGTTAGACAGCTGACTGAGTAGAGGCGTGATTCATTAATTAAGCAGTGACAATTGGTCTGTTGCACGCAAGACATACAGCCGACTGAACATACATTCTAAGTGTCAATTTGCTTGAAAATCACGGTGGTCACATCAACAAAGTCTGAAATCCACTCTTTAGTGCGCAATCTGCGTAGTTTATGATACACTTTTTCAGATTTACCGCGTATGCGGGCAATGTCTCGTGTTGGCTGGCAGTCAGGTATTCCCGGAGAGTCCTAACCTGAATGAATAAACAATCACGCGAACTGTTAAAAAATCTTCTTGCGTAAGCTTTCAATTCGTTTAAAGGTTTTCTTTTTTTAAAAAAAAAGGAACAAAGACTTGAAAGCACTCATGAATTCATACAACAGAAAAAGTTAGTGAAATCGTTTGTTTACTCCGATTGGTTTTTCTGACTCCTGTCTTTGACTCTCTTCTGTCAGCAACCGGGTCGGCGGTTGCTAAAAAAAAAAACCGACCGCAGACGCGGAAAACTTGAAAAAGCGTGTGACAAACTACGGAGACTGCGCACCAAGGAATGGATTACAGACTTTCTTTACATGCCCAACGTGAATTTTAGGAGATTTTATCCGTGAAGAATACACTCATTCGCCTGTATCTCTTGCGCACAACAAACCTATTACCCGTGCTGATGGGTTTTGTTGGAAAAGGGTTGCGCATAATCCGGTTCTTTCAAAAGTTCACAGCTTTTCTAATCTAAATACTTAAAAATTGTAGGGAACCTCTTTTGTAGATACGTCTCCGTTAAATGATAAAAAAATAAATTTAAAAACAATTGAGGGGCTTGGAGGGCAAGACGCAAAAGTGCATTTTTTGCTATCTCAAGGAATACGTGTTTCAAAATTTGAAGGTTTCAAAATTACACGATGCTTCACGACAGCTTTGTGAGTTTTATGAGCGTTATGCAATTTTTTTTGTGAAAATGTTAAGGAATTTGCTTCGTACTATTCAGACAATTCACTGAAAATCCGCAAACCCGTTTTAATGTTAAAAAATTAAATTGCCGCAATTAAATTTGGCGATATAGCTGATGTGGCTCGGTTTCATTCTGCTTAACGTGGTCTATTTATAGTCGTTCCATGAACAGCTCTTGAGCTTTTTTACATTAATAAATACGCAGTGTCAAGGAAGCCTCTAATCACAGGGCCGTATTCGTAGTTGTTTGGATACGACTATTCGTGCTCTAAAAGCGTGCGTGTTGCGTGTACGAACAATTGTAGGCGCTCTGACACTCTCAATCACAATGCATAGTCGCAAATTGCAACTATTTGTGCTTAGGTTTTATCGGTGTTACGTATACTGTACGTTGTGCTTGACACGGTCCAAATAGGATTTCAGGTTGATATCAGTAATTTTTGTCGCTCGAACCGTGTTTTACGTGAAATTTTGGTTGAGACATGCATCAGGATGCTTAATTCATAACTTGAGTACAGGTTCATTTTAACCAATTTCGTGTATTGGAAGGGTGAAAAACACCCTGTATACACATTGATCATGCATGATGATGCTTCAATTCATACCTTGTGTATGCACTGGTAAATTTTAACGGCATAGCTTCGTATTGGATAGGTGAAAGACACCCTGTGTAAACATGACACATTAGGGTGCGTCAAAAAAAATGAAAGTCTGAAATGTTCCGCTCCCTTGGACTGGGGGGCCTTGTGGAGTTCATGTATGAAATCTACGACCAACATTACATAGGAAATGATACCTACATGAGACAGAATGAGCATTTTAAAATATCGATTTCCCGGACCTCCTTATTACGGCCGCCATTTTCAATTTTAAGTACTTTGAGGGGTGTTCCGGAGTCGGAGTCGTTCAGGGGGACCTACTGATGACGATTACATCGGAAAAGTTTGTTACGGAATTTTTCCCGGTCAAACCGCACTTCTCCCTTACTATTATAGCACGATCCTGCCTCTCGAGCCGTTCATATGGAACAATGGAACAATGTGCAAGTAGCAAGATGGGGTGTGCTCCTTAGTGGTCGGGCCATAAGACTGAATGGGGATTTTAAAGCGCCAGTGACGTCAGCGGCGACGAAGCCGTCCCCGTTTTCGCTTTTGATCGGCTTTAACTCATGAGCCCTGTTTACCACGCTCTTGTCACATGCCCACGACTCACGAGTTGGCGCTCAGTTCCTTTTGATTCGATTGAAAATCCCGCTTCTCCATTTTCTCAAAAGGAACTATATCCACTGACCACATTGTTTCTTATCCAGCTTCCACGAGCACACCCCATCTTTCCTTTTGCTCATAGTTCCTTTCAGCATAAATACGTCCACTTTATACCCAGTGCACTGGTGCATCACAACCGCGGAGGTTCGTATCGGAGAGGCGAAAAGGACCCTGTATCCAGGAAGGCGCAAAGGCGGAGGATTTGAATACCGGTCGGGTCGACCTTGGCGGTGGCGGTGGTGGCGGAAAGGCGCAGCGCCGCGGCCGCGATGAGGTCAAACGCATCCGCGGCCGCGTCCACACACACAGAGCACGGAGACACCGTTGCGCAACAACAACGAGGTGCCGTGACCGACAACAATAACACCGCCCGACCCGACAACTTGCACTTTCACCATGAAGGTAAGTGACGAAATCCTCCAGGCCCGCCCGGGCCCGCCAGTGCATCTACGTCTAGCGCCACCGCTCCGCTTCATCCGCTAAATCGGGCCTCTTTGACCGCTTAGGATAAATTTTGACTCTTTTCGAGCCGTTTTCTCCGTGTGTAGCCCGGAAAGAGGGGTTGTTGTGTTGCTTTTCCATGGTGAAACATGGATGCGTTCGTAAAAATCGATAGATTCTGATTCGTGCATCAGCGTCGAGTAAGTCCAACCAGTTTGACCGCTTATGAACAATTTTGGCCGTTTTCGAGTTGTTCGGATCGTGCATACTCCCGAAAAAGAATTCCTAGTGTTGTTGATTTTTGCTTGAACTTGGATTTGTACGTAAAAATCGTTTCATTCTAGTCTGGGCATCTGCACGGTGTAAATCAAACCTGTTTGACTGCTAATGAAAAATTTTGACCGTTTTTGAGCCGCATTGATCTTACTCGTATTTGTGCTCAAAACTAGGGTTTCTAGTGTTGTTTTTCCGTGTTAAAGCTTAGAATCGTGCGTAAAAATCGATGATTTCTGATTTGTGCATCTGCATCGAGTGAATCCGACCTTTGACTGATATTGAGCTTTTTCGGCCCTTTTAACGACATCACATTTAAGTCGCGGTGTTCGCTCCATGTTAAAATATCGATTTCTACGTTAAAATGGGTGGAATTCGTTCAGTGCACTTGTGACAAGCGGCGTTGACATTGGTTTGAGTACGTCCCACCTTTTGAAAAGTTTTTGACTCTAGGTGCGTTAAACTCAAAATGTTGGTGCATTAGTTAAGAATGAACGTTAATTCGTGAGCTTTGACTATCTAATGGTGCTTTCGATGAGACTGACCTTTTTGCGGATTTTTTACCTGTTCAAAAGGTTACGGACCCCGAGCAATTGTTCCTCGGTATTACATTAACGTCAAACTTAGTTTTTTCAACATTTGGTACAGTGATTCGAATTAGATCTTCTCGTGGAATTTTGGACCGTTTGCACGCAAGCGACCAACTTTTTAAGTGATTTTTTCATCTTGAATAGGGGGTGCTTCAAGCGAATTTGGGTCTTTAAAAAAGCTGCTCACTGTTGAGGCAGAGCGATACGAAACACCAGTTCTTTCAAACACAAAAATTTATTAAAGGTAATGAGATATTTTCAATGTTCTTTTCACGCTAAAATAGGTTTTTTTTATTATTATTTTCCATGACACTACTGTACATTTAGCCAACTTTTGCAGGTTGATATTCCGCAGGTGATTAAAGGAGTTCGACCGTTTTGGCCGTCTTTACCAGCAATTAATTCTGATTTCATTAGGAGCAGTTAGTATTTTATCAGTCCCATATTGCACTGCAACTTTTAATGGGAAGTGCAGTTGAACTGATTATGATACTTTTGGAATGTGTTTAACTATGCAAATCCGTTGGGAAACAAAACTATTGTAAAACGAAAAAAAAAGAGACCAATTGCATACTTTAATGATGTTGATAAGCTCTTAAATTATCCAAGTTAGTTATTTGATACTTAGTCTTGAAAAAGAGGGGGAAAACTTTGAAAAAATATTGGTTTTTGAAAAGACTTTTTCGCAAATTTTACTTGAAAACACCCGGAAACAATTTCAAAAATGTAATTTTGAGTAGTTTTTTAAGAGTTTTTTTAGATTAGAAGCGTTTCAAAATTGAATTGTGTCGTGCGAAAACCACTAGTGTCCCTTTACCGAGTCTTCAGTTTCTCAAGGGTGACAATACTTCTCACAGATAGATATGACCATGAAATTTGGTAGAATTTCTCGTTTTCGGACTAGCTTAATCCCTATAAGAGGCCGTGCAGCACACGGAAAAAATAGATCGCTGATTTAACAATTCAATTGTTTAAAAATATGTCCAACATGTTTCAAATGTACATTTTACAATAGCGGAAAGCTACTTTAACCACGGGAGTGGGTTTTTTATTGTAAATTCAACATTGAAACACGTGGGGCACTTTTTTAAACTACAAATTGTAAAAGCAGCAGTATCATTTTCTCCGGTGCACTTTCACGTGTGTAGCGCTTCTTGGAAAGTATAAACACACTAAAACCCAACGCTGGAGAAATGGACAAAAGCGGTTTTGGCACGATACAATCCAACCAGAAATGGCTTAATTCTAAGTAATATTCACTTGCCAAAAATTCCAGCCGATTGAGATGTGTTTTTCGGGCAAACGTCGATGGACGTGTTCAGACCGAATGATGTCAATTAATTTCCAACGGCTGTTAATTGGTCATTGCATCGTGCATCACCAATTCACCACGTTTAATCCCTCTCATACTGCTGGCTTGTGGAAGAACCCCTTGTGATCATTTAGGCGTTGCCAGATATCCTTCACTAAAAATGAATTCGCTGGGAGAATTGTGAATATTTTTTGTTCAAGTTTTTGTACAGTTTTATTTGCAATTTGATCTAAAATATCTGAAAATTTCGATGAAAAATATGAATACCTTTCCTCAAAAATACATTTTTCATCCAAGCAAACTTGGCAACTCTCGTTACAACTACTCATGCTCATACGGCGTTTATCCGTAGCGGCAGCATTCCACTCTGCCCTCCCACAAGTGAGTGACTGGAAATTATTAATTGCAGCAGTAAACTACTTTCTCTTCATTAGTGCACGACTAGCTTGTCACAGTTGACATTTGCCCAAACAAGTCGAAAGTGTCCTTGCGTTAGATATCAGCACAAACCTCGGCGCGTGTGTTTTTAATGGTGCCCAATGTTTAACAACAATTCTAGTGACCTTTGTGACTGAATCTCCAAAAGTGAGTGCGCCATATCTGTACTGAGGAGCATTAGATAGCATGTGACATCGGATGCAATCATCCATATTTTGGCCGATAGGTTGGAAATTGTCAGGAATATTCATAGCGTGAAATTCCAATGATATTGTCTTATCTTATCTCATAACCATCCTTTCTAAAAATTCTGATGATAGTTCGAATACACTGCGTGTATTGTTTCAAAATGCATGCGATTTTAACCGTTCTGAAAGTTCAACAGCGCAACCAATTATTTTCCAAATCACAGGAGTACCAAAATTTCGGATGCGAGAAAAACAGGAGAACCCGTTTTACTCGCTTTGTTGACATTTTCGAATTCCAAGAAAAAGTATGTTCTTTCTGAAGGCTATTTTGAAATCAGACATGATTGATTATACCAGAGGAAACCAAGAGAATCAATCGGTTCGATCTGAGGTTCTCGCTGTGGCTACGTTAGTATAGTGACTGGAAAAAGGATCATGAGAAATTTTGCCATTTAAAAAAGTCCGCACAAATCTGACTCGTGTAATTATTTCATGCAATATGCAATTACAAAATATATTCATATGGAAGGTCGAGGTCACTATGCGATGTTTTTATTACCCACAGTGTACCAACAATTTTCGATCCGAATGGACAAAAAATCGTCCTTCTGGAAAAATTTATTTTATCCACTGGGATATCCTTTCTTGTGGGCGTTCACACATTCGGTTTATACATGTCGTATACTCTGCCGTCGTATTTAAAACTAAACTTTTTGTAATGAATTTAATAGCCTAGGATTCTGAATTTCTACGAATAAATTAACTAACTAACTAACTAACTAACCAACTAAGTAGCCAACCAACTAACTAAGTAACTAACTAACTAACTAACGAAAACTACCAACGCCACATTAAACGTATACGTCATTTTTATCAATTCAGATTTAAAACTAAAGGGACCGCGTTTAGCAGAAAGGAACCAAGCCACATCAGCTCTCGCTAAATTTAACTTGAAAATTTAATTTTTTACAGGAAAACGTCGTAGGTGCCTACTCCTTTGAAAATGTTAAGATTTGCTTCGTACTACCCTGGTAAAAATTGGCAGTAGAATATGTGTTCAAAAATACCATAGACCTACAGCCGGCTGTAAGATTTCCAATATCTTCTAAAGCCGCCAACACAATTTCTTATAGGTAACCTTTTATAGCCGATGGCGATTACAGTCTGGCGATAAAGTGTATGCTAAACGTAACTAATTACGGATGCTAGGACTTAGTGAGTGTTTGGACTACCGCTCTCTTTTTGGGCCGTTGTATCTTGATTTATTTTGCGAGGAAAGCTTCGTACTTTTAAAGGATGCCTGCCATTCCTTACATGTTGGAGCGCCTTCAATTTCGTATGATACTGTGCAATAGCTCTGGTGTGAAATAGTTGCTTCAAGCGCCGTGGTACGCTGCGGCGCGGCGCGGGCAGAGCGAAGCGCGCACTGGCGCCTACAAACCTAACTGGGATACTTCACGCATTGCGTAATGCGTGAAGTATCCCTGTTAGGTTTGTAGGCGCCAGTGAGCCGCCGCTCCGCTCAGTATTATGCTCGAATATTTAATCTCGTGGAGTCAGCGTTTCTCAACTCGTGACTTTGAAATGTTTGCACAATCTGTATGGAATATTCTCATTTTAATTGATGAAAAAAAATATGTAGTAAAGGAAAATATACTGTGCGTTTAGTAAATATTAAGGTGATTCCGCACAAACTTAAGAATTTACAAAGCACACGAATTTCTACACAATTTCTTTTAGCCTTTTATAGCCGATGGCGAAAAGCAACAGCCAGACGATAAAGTGTAAAGCCCGGCAATAGGAACTATAGCCCGGCTGTACAATTTTTATCGCTTCGTGTAGCCCAGCCGTATGATTTTTCCCACTTTCTACAGCCAGCTATATGATTTTCTATCGCCTTCTTCAGTCGGCTACAAGAACTCCTATGGTACTTTGAAACGCAGCTCCTATCGCCAATTTTTACCAGGGTATGCAGAAAATTCACTGGAATTTGCACCCCCCCCCCCAAAAAAAAAAAATCGCACTATCGCTTCAATGTGAAAAATTAATATTCCCAATTAAATTTGGCAATAGCTGATGTGGCTTGGCTCTTTCTGCAAACGCGGTCCAATCGGCTCATGAAATGACAGTTTCTCCCAAGAAAGTCCAACAATTGTGGTATGTAATTAATGCTATTCACTGAACTGATGTAGAGTTTTGGGGTTATTAAGTTTTCTTTTCCACTGTAGTAGACTTGGTAGCCTACGGTGAGAACTACTGGAGTGTTTGCCACGGATTTTAATGAGGTAAAAATTAATGCAGGACGTTCGAGACAGATCATGGCCGAGTAGGTCGTGAACACTCATAACTAGTCTGCCGTGTTGAGGGAAAACGTCGTATGAGCCTTCAGGCGTTGCCAAATTTCCTTTGACAAATCACAAAATATTGATAATTTTCCCAATAAACATTATATCAGAGGAAATTTGGAAACTCTCGATGTTCATGCGGCGTTCTTCCTTTGCATGGTAGTAGTAAATACACTGGCATTGAGAAATTGCACATACTGTTCTTTATGATCAATCTACGGTTACAGTCCTCGCGTTGACTCAGGCAAGGACCTAGAGTTACGGTAATGTGAACGGAAAATTTTGAATGAGTACAGTGTTTTTTTTTGTGAGTACCGTGAAATCTTATTTACCTCTCTTCGGTGAAATAACCATGAAAAAGAAAGACGAGCAAACAGTGTAATTTAGTTAAATCATCTTTCTAATTACTAAAAGGGAGGGATTAATAATATACAATTCGTAAACTTCATTCCTCTTAGGAAAATTTCCCGCTTTATAAAGTTACTGAACTAACTCCAAGCTTCATTTTTTTAGTGTGAAATTTTCACAGAGATACATGATTCTAAATATCTAAAAACTGCATGCTTACAGATTTTCTTGTAAAAAGAACTTTTCTGAGGCCATATTGAAAATATTATCGATATAACACGGCCGCGCAGCGCGGCGTCTCGAACAGAATTTTAGGCCACTTCTACAGCAAATTTGATTGGTTTAAAATTTTCATGGGCACACTGCTTTGAATAAATAATGGGATCTCTTGATCATGTATCGAGTTAAATTGTTTCAAATTGTAATCAAATTCCAGGCTTTGGCTTGGACATTACACTAATCAATATGCACAATGATCTTCACGTTTTCCCAAGAATACTATATATAATACTTTTATGTGACACTGACATGATAAGAATGTAAAAATGGCAATATTATGGTTATCACGCTGTCAATATTTAAGACACCGTACAACGCTCCAAGTTGTAAACAT